TGTCCTCCTGAGTCTATCTTGTGTATTCATTTTTCTTAAGTCAGGAGAGTCTTAGCCATGTTTCCATGGTGATGCAGTGGCCAGTAGGGGAGAAGATGCAGAGAAGAGGTGACAATGGCTGCAGCGAAGTTCCTGGGAGACCATGAGGAGCCAGGCTTGAAGGTCGGGTGCTGGGCTAGCTTCAGACAGGCAGGACAGGTCAAGAGCAGGCATAGCTGTAGGTGTGTTCCCAGGTGTGGTGGCAGGAAATGAACTGTGCTTCCGTTTGTTCCTCCTGTGTTCCCTGTGAGATGGAACTCGAAGTTGTCATAAGCAGAGGGAGCGAGTTGGAGAGTAGAGCCAAGGAGCTCTAGACAAGGGAGGATGTTTGAAATCACCCCCTTGGAGAGTGTGACAGAGAGCCGCTTAGGGACACAGAGGCTTCCTGGGTCACCCTGAGGCCACCCCTAGGATCAGGTGCCCAGTCCAGAGAGGCTGCCCTGGCCAGTCCGGAGCTACTCTTAGGAGAGTGCTGGTTGGGATGTTGAGAAACTTGACAAGGTTCTGCTTAACCTTTTCTACCGGGAATTCTCTTCACAAAGCCCAAGTGGACCAGAACTCAGCGGACTGGGTTCAAGTCCTCATGCTGCCACGTAGCAGCTGTGGGATGCTGGGATGCCATGGCCCTCTCTAAGTCTCTCGTTCTCTCCGTTATTGAGGCAGTGGGGGCATTGACCTCATGGGGCAGCTGTGAATAATTCACTGTGAATGACACTGGGACACAGCAGGGCGAGAATGTTGAAAAATTTGGTGGGGGGCATTGTTAAGAACTGGGTGGGGATACTTATGTCCTTATCATTTCTTTCTACTTATCATCGAAAAATATTACTGGTAAAATCTGGAAAGAGAGTGATTGAGATGGGTAATACCATCACCCTCCGGGTAAGCTATGAAGCTGCCTCTTTTTTCCACCACACTATGGGGGCCCTTTCCCCCAGTGCCTTGGTGTACCCTCAATGCCAGCATGTCCAATTTCTCTTCTGTCCTCTGCTCACCAATACGGATCTGGTGTCAGGCATCTACATCTTAGGGGCCATTTCTTAAACAGTTGGGGGTCTGGAGGGGACACAGAAGCTCTTCCTAGTGATATGGCAAACTACTCTCCCGTCCCCAAGCATCCAGTTTTGACATGGAAACCTCTTGAGGCCAGGTTGCTTTGCAAGGTAAGCCCAGAACATTCAAGTCCGAGCAGAAGACCATGCTCCTTTGAAACTGCATTTCGGCCATTTGGTTGGGGATTGGACAGAGGTGGTGTTTGAGATTGGATGCCTTCTCCCCACAGGCTCACCAGGCAACCACAGATTCCACTTGCCCCTGAAATAGATGGGTTCCTGGGGGGTGCCCAGGCTTATCCCTGTGTGCCCTCCTTGACAGGTGAGCTGTGACAGGGCCTCTCTGTTTGGGCATAACTAACCTTATCCACAGAAGTTCCCAAGCATTGCTGGCTATGTCTGTACCTCACTCCTAGAAAGCAGGAGCTGCTCAAATACAAGTTGGTGTAATCACAGGGAAAGCCGAGCTTTGGTCGGCACAATCTGAAGTTTCTGCTGCCTGGGCTGTCAGCTCAGAGACGGCGCTGTTTGTCAGCACCAAGCTCAACCACTGAGTGGGACTTTCTGGAGCGTCCCAAGAGAAAACCGAGACTTCAGTAGAGGACACAGAAACCTGTGCCCAGTGGGGGCAATCGGGAAACTTCAATGTGTGACTCGTTCTTTTCCAAAATTCCTCTTTTCCCCTTATTTAATTTTTTTTTTTCAGAAAAACGTGTGATTTTATATGCTTTTCTCTGCATGTATTAAACAAATTGCACAGCTGAATAGCTTTTCTTAAAACCTGGACATTCACCAAAAAGAAGTTTGCCAGCACAGACAATTAAGCTTTCTTCTTTGAACAATGGAGTGACTGACTGGCACATTTGAAATGCAAGCGTGTTTTTTTATTCCACTGTTCATCCTTCAAGCTGATAAACAGCAACAATGGGAAACAGCTGGGACAGGAAAACATTTGAGTTTGTATTTTCAAAGCAAGCAAGAAAGAAACCCGTCAGTGTGGGCCAGATCCCGTCTTCCGCCTGAGGGCGAGCCGGCATTTGGGGAGGGAAAAAATACTATACATATTTCTAATCAAACATTACATATTTATTAATGTGCAGCTGGTGCATTGTATTCCGAGGGTTGGTGGTGGGGGTGTCTCTCCCCCCACCCCCACGCCACCCGCCTTGTTCCTCTAATGTGTCTTGCCTGGCAGGCTGGTATTGTTCTATAACTGACATTACTTTATAAGAATCAGAGCTGCGCACATTTAATAGGAGTTACGGAGACAATTGCTCTCTGAGCGGTTGGGGTCTCTGTGACGTAGGTGCCATCTGAGCCTCAGTTTCTGTTCTGCGAGTGAAGGGATGGGCAACGGAGGTATTTTTAGGCAGATGCACCTGGGATACTGTGTATGGGAAAGTCCCCAGCACCTTCACTGCCACCCCCACACCACACACTGGGTCCTGTCCATGAAGACCATGGCTCCTGCCCACGTGTCTGTGCTGTCTCTAAATGTGGGAACAAATTTATTTTGATGCTTATTGAGATTAAACTTGCTGTGCATTTCATCGGGAGCAGGGGTTGGATCTGTTCATTAGGTGGGGAGGCTCACCTTGTCAATTTCCATTGAGCGCTGGCACAAGCGATCACTTTATCATCATTTGTCAGCAGCCTCGACAGGTTTTACTCAGCTCTGATTCCTCCCGGGCCCTGCTGTCATAACTTCATTGGCTTTATGGTAGCAGCTGAGTTCCCTTAGGTAATTGTCTAATAGATCTATTTTGCCTTAATATTAGTAATTCACTAAATGTAAAAGAACGCAGAAGAGAGGCTGAAACATTAAACACCAGACATACCACACACTCCTGCAACAACCCCAGCCCCACCCTAAACTATTATCTCCATCCATCTTTGGAAATCCCATTATATTGAGTAGGAGGGGATTGGTCTTTTTCAGTTTTGAAAAATCGGAGCTGAGACTTCAGCCTCCCTCTGGTCTTGTGGGCCAAAGGAATTTAGCATGGAAGCGTGGAAAGGGCTCCGGGCCAGGGCTTGGGGGCATGTGGCTCCTGGGGCCCAGAGCTGGAAGCACCTTTTTCCTTTTTGGGCCTCAGTCTTCCCATCTGTTTACCAGCGGGACACCAAGGTTCTCACCCTCAGGATCACGTGGGGGCCAGGCGGCAATAGAGATGGGCGACTGAGCTGGATGGGGACGGTGGCAAGCTGGAGGGCACATGCCTCTCTGCCTGGAGGGGCAGCCACTACAAGTTGTCTTGGGCCAATGCAGGCCTGGTGGACCCAGAGGCTTGATTGAGTTTTTATTTTATTTTACTATTTTTTTCTTTTCCTGTTTTTTTTTTTGAGATACGATCTCACTCTGTTGCCCAGGCTGCAGTGCAGTGGTTCGATCACAGCTCACTGCAGCAATTGTAGTCCTCCTAGTCTTAAGCAATCTCATGACCTTAGCCTCTCAGTAGCTGGGACTACAGGTGCGTGCCACCATACCCAGTTTTTTTTTTTTTTTTTTTTAGAGATGGAGTCTCACTATGTTGCCCAGGCTGGCCTTGAACTCCTGGACACAAGTAATCCTCCCTCCTTGGCCTCCCAAAGTGCTGGGATTATAGGCGTGAGCCACTGTGCCCCACTAAGGTTTAGATTTTTAAACAATAACTAGGATTCTAAATTTTATGTCTAGTGTTTTAGTACTGGCACTGAATTTAAAAAAGCATTCTTAATAAAATAAAATGTCTGCTGGCAATGATGAGTTATGATGATGACAATGGTGATTAATGATAGCTAACATTAGTGAGTGCTCATCATGTATCAGAGTCATTTTTGGACTGGTTTCATCCTTACAACAATGCTAAAAGACATGTCCTGGTGTTGTCCCTGTTTCACAGGTGAGGAAATGGAAGCACAGTGAGTAATGTGCCCAAGGTCACTGTCTTTGCTGCTCAGTTGATCAGGTAATTGACTTGCAGGAAATTAGAGATCTACTAACAAGGTATCCTGGGCCTGCATGGAAAATATGACGTCAAGATAGATCTCCTGGCAAAGGCCAACTTATTACAACATTCCACTTAGAAAAAAAAATCTATGCACTTAAAAAAAACCACTGCCAGGCACAGTGACTCATGCCTATAATCCTAGCATTTTGGGAGGCGGAGGCAGGAGGATTGCATTAAACCAGGAGTTTGAGACCAGCCTTGGTAACACAGCAAGACTGTCTCTACAAAAAATATTTAAAAAAACAGCCATGCACGGCGGTGCACACCCGTAGTTCTAGCTACTTGGGAGGCTGAGGTGGGAGGATAGTTTGAGCCTGGGAGTTCGAGGCTTCAGTGAGCCTCGAACCATTGCACTCCAGCCTGGGTGACAGAGTGAGACCCTGTATCAAAAAACAAAAACAAAAACACCAATACACTTGTTTTCTGGAAGGTTTTACCTCTATACTACCACTGTCCTTCAGAACCATGGGTTTTCCTTAAGTAGCAGGGAATTACCATGTTGATTACTAAGTCGTAGGCCAGAAGGAAAGAACTTGACTTGGGATTTCCTGAATTTATCACAGCGTACCTTCTTTCATAGACTAAAACTGTGTCTTAGGTTTAATGAACTGTGTGAAAACTCTGGCTGGTCCATTCCCCATAACTCAGCCCTTTGACCTCCTGACTGGACATTTCCCTGAAATATATTAGGTCCGGCCAGGCATGGTGGCTCACACCTGTAATCCCAGCACTTTGGAAGGCCAGAGGATCACCTGAGTCCAGGAGTTTAAGAACAGCCTGTGTAACATAGTGAGACCCTGCCTCTAAAAAGAAAAAAAAAAATTAGGTCCTTCATAATCATTTGTGGGATGAATGCTTTAATTAAAAATTTGAATATAGGGTGTTTTAAACAGAATTTCTTTCTTTCTTTTTTTCTTTGTTAAATGGCCACTGTGTTTATTTCCTGTCATTATCTCTGGATGTCTTTTTTTGCACAGACTGTCATAGACCAACATAATGTGTGCATACATTTACATGTGGTTCGATATACACATATGCACCTGCAATGCTTCTGTGTGAGTCAACATACATGTATGCACACACTTACATGTAGTTCAATACACATGTGCATGTGCAATGCACACACCTACATGTGGTTTAATGTACATGTGTGCATACACTCACGTGGATCAACACACGTGCACACACATGCGACTTACACATATGCACACTTACATGTGGTAGAACATACACACATGTAAATCCTTGCATATGGCTTAACATACATGGGCAATGTGCACATTTACACATAGTCCAGTGTATACATGTGCACATGCTTACATGTGATTTGACATATATGGGGTACTTCATTTGGTTCAGATATACCTGCAGGGTGGGGATTTTATTGCATCCCTGAGTGATTCCTGTCCCAGGCTTAGCAGTGAGTTCCTCTCACCCTAGCACCAGGGAGAAGGATTGGGAGCTATTTCTTTTCCTCACTTGAGCCAGGATCTGCGACTGTCCTAGTGAATGTTTGACATTGGCCAGCACTCAGCATTACCAGGAGGTGGTGGACGATGTTCACTGGTCAGCATCACCATTCCGGGAAGAACCCTTTGCCTGTGCACTGTTCTATGCATAGAGTTCATCAGGAAAGTCCAGTTCCAACGTTGCTGATGGGCCAATGAAGGGAGGCAGGGTTTTCTGGGCTGCGATGTGGAGGTCAGCCACACAGTGAGCCAGTGTCCCGTGTGTACATACAGCATGTGTACATGCATACAATGCAGTGGATGCTGATGAGGGTGTGCAGGCCACTATAGGATGGCTCTGGGAAGAAAGGAGCATCTCTCATGCACCTGTGCAGGTGCAACGTGTCCTCTGCTGGCTTGACGTGGGCACTCCCCAGTACCAGAGAAAGGCAGCAGCCTTGTGGCCCTGCAAGCCCTGGTTCAGGAGGAGGCTGGAAGTGTGCTCTCTCCGGCTGAGGATGGAGGTATCTCCCTAGGGGAAGCAGGGAGTGGTCAGTACCTTGGGGAGTGGGAGCTATTAACCCTTCAACCTGGCTTGCATTTCTTTCCAGGATGCCCTGTCCTTTTGTAAAGGAACTGGCAGATCTTCAGGCAGGGGGTAGCAGATTCTGTTAGACTACCACAGTGGCAGTAGCCAGGGTCGGAGCAGGAGGTCCTGTCCCTCAAACCCACTACAGATGCAAAGGTAGAAAGATCAAAGCATGTGCAGTTGAGGAGTGGGGCATGGTCATCCTAGAAGATAACTGAGTATAATAATAATTGTTGATGTCACCCCAGCCCTCACTATATATCCATTTCTGTTCTAGGTGCTTTTCATAGATAATTTCTAAACCTGCCAACGACTCTTTGAGTTGATATCTTTAATATCTGGGTACATTTCTCCATTAAGGTAACCAAGAAGTTAAATAAATCCATGCACATACAAATCCATGGCATGTATGTGCAGACTCCGTTTTGGAAGCCAGGGCTATATGACTCCAAAGCCCTTTTCTGTCCCCAGAAGACCACCACGTCCAGTCCTCCCCGTTCCTCCAGGACCTGCCACTCTGGTGTCCTGGTTCTTAAGGCTGGTGGAAAAGTAAGCTGGGTTCAGGGACCAGCCTGTCTTGCTCAGGACCTCCAAGGAGGCCGGAGTTCTTTCTCCCGTTTGGAGAGGAAGAGCCTAGCCTTTCTCAATCCTTTTTGATTTCTGGGAAAGAAGTCGGAAGGCGGCCTCGCCGCCTATCTCAGTGGCGTTCAAGGTTATCCAGACAGCGGTCCGCGGGCCTCATTTGCAAGGCGCTGCGCGGCGCATGCAGAAGCAGCCGCGGGCCGGCGGGGCGCGCAGATAAGGTCTGGGGGCGCGGGTTTCGGGCTGTACCTGTATTATCGCGGCTTCCTTAAGCTCGGATGAATATGTAAATCTCCCGCCACCGCTTCCTGGTGCCGCAGCCGCAGCCGCAGCCGTGGGGGCCGCCTCCGCTGTAGCAATTCCGAGGGTAAAATTGATTAATATTTGTTTTCAAAATGACACGCGGTGATGTATGGGCCCTTTTACAACTTAAATTAATACTTTAAAGAGATGAATGGTCTCTACCGAGGGTGTTAAAGTTCAAGCCCAGAGAATTTGCATATTTATATTACAGCCAACTGATAGTAATTGTGGGAACGGCCTGTAATGCTGTTCGTTTGTCATTTTCAGCGGGGTGTGCGTCTGCTGGGGACCTCATTAACTCAGGAGGCCTCAGCCCCTCCGCCCTGCAGGACACGGGCTGGCGGCCCGGCGCCCAGGGCCTGTGGTCAGGGCACAGTCCTGCCTCGTGGGCTCCCGGAGGCTGAGTGCCTTCAGGCCTGGGCACCTGGCTTGGGAGGTGAAGACAGGTGCCTTGAGTCTGCAGACACCGCCTCCTGCTCGTCGGTAAATCCCTTCTTAATGTAGCCAGAATCCCTTCTTACTATGTGAGATGCCAACCACCCTCTGAGCCACCTTCGAGTCACTTAAGTTACTTCCCTCTTAGCGAAGGTTCTCCCAGAAGCACATCTTCAGACAAGTTCCCCCCAAGTGCTTTCTCCCGGAGGCAGTCCCAGGAAGCAGTGCTAGAGGAGAGAAGGAGCACACACAGGGTACGTCATCAAGCAGGTGACAGCTATGGGCAGCTGGGGTGCAGTCCTGCTAGGGAGCCTGCGGGGGCACTGTGGGGCACACTTTGGGATTGTCCCACCTGGAGGTGGGGAAGTTGTGGTCTTCTCTTCAACTCCATTTGTCACTGGCTGAGGGCTGTTCCCTGGGGGTGTTAATTCCCAGCACCTCCTGCTGCCTGAGAACCTGCTGCAAAAGCCCAGGGGTGGAGAGTCCCGGGTGCTGCCACCAGGCAGATGGCCTGTGCGGGATGGCGGGTGGTGGGGAAGGCCAGCATCTCCTAACGAGCCTCTCCGTGTCCCCCATCCCCACTTGTCCTCCACGCAATAGCCAGGCTGATCCTTTAGAAACAGGAGTCAGGCCAGGTCACTCTTCTGCTCAAAACTCTTCCCTGGCTTCCTCTTTCTCTTTGGAGTAAAAACCAGATTCCTTGCCATGGCCGGCAAGGCGCTATGTGGTCTGGCCCCACCTTCCTCACCGACCTCGCCTCCCCCTCCATCCCTCTCTCTCCCTCCCCTGGGTCCACAGCAGCCTCTTTGCAGTTCCCTGAACACTCCAGCCATGCTGCTGCCTCAGAGCCTTTGCTTCCACTCTTCTCTTTCTCTGGAACCTGCCTCTGCCTCCCAGTCACTGGGCATGACTCAGTCCCCCACTTCTACTCAACGGTCACCTTCTCAGTGATACTTCCTCTAACCTCTGCAGTTATGATTTCACCCCCTCACCCCCTGGACCCCTGCCCCACACTGCATACATCTCCTCTGCCCTGCTCACTGTCGAACTGATGATATATTGATTTATCTTGTTTATTGTTTGTCTCTCCCTCTGGAATTTGAGCTCTGTGAGGGCAGGGACTTATATTTTCACTGCTATGTCCCCAGCACTGAGCACAGTCCCTGGAGTGTCATAGACACGCAGTAAATCTGTGTTGAATGAATAAATGAATGAATGAAAGTGGGCCCAGTAGTGACTGTGTGGTGGCTCCCACTGCCTGGGTGTGATGGCCAGGGTCAGGCCAGGTGAGGAGACCCAGCAGACAGGACTGGCTTCGTGTGAGTGTGACCCATGCAGGCACCATGCTTAGTTTAATGCCCTTAGTTTAATGTAACTGTCTAGAAAGTTTTTAGAGACTGTATTTTTAGAGCAGTTTTAGGTCTCAACAAAACAGAGCAGAAGGTACAGAGATTTCCCGTATACACCCCACCCTACGCCACCCTAGATATGCACTGCCTCTCCCATTAGCATCCCCATCAGAGGAGTCCATTTGTGTCAGTGTGCCTACATTGATGCATCATTATCACCTGACTCCGTAGTTTACATGAGGTTCACTTTGGGTGTTATACATTCTATGAGTTTGGACATAGAATTTATCCATTTGCTACTGACGGACACCTGGATTGCTTCCAAATTTTGGCAATTATGAATAAAGCTGGCACAAACATCTGTGTGCAGGTTTTGGACAGACATAGTTTTTCAACTTTTTTTTGGTAAATACCAAGTAGTACTATGGATTGCTGTATGGTAATGGTATGCTTAGTTTTCTAAGAAACTGCCAGACTGTCTCCCACAGTGTCTGGACATTTTGCATTCCCAACAGCAGTGAAGGAGACTCCCTATTGACTCCATCCTCGCCAGTATTTGGAGCTATCACTGTTCTGGATTTTGGCCATTCTAACAGGCACGTAGTGGTATCTCGTATTTTAATTTGCATTTCCCTGATGATATATGCTGCGGAGCATCTTTTCATATGCTAGTTGTCATCTGTGTATCTTCTTTGACGAGGTGTCTGTTAGAGTCTTTGGCTAATTTTTTAATTGAATTGTTCATTTCTTATTTTTGAGTTTTAAGAGTCCTTTGCATATTTTGGATACTAGTCTTTTATCAGACATGTCTTTTTCATTTTCTCCCAGTGGCTTGCCTTCTTATATTCTTGATGGTTGTCTTGACATTTTTAACAATTTTAGAATAAAGGACTTTGCATTTTCTTTTTTTTTTTTTTTTTTTTAAATTTATTTATTATTATTATACTTTAAGTTGTAGGGTACATGTGCATAACGTGCAGGTTTGTTACATATGTATACTTGTGCCATGTTGCTGTGCTGCACCCATCAACTCGTCATTTACATCAGGTATAACTCCCAATGCAATCCCTCCCCCCTCCCCCCTCCCCATGATAGGCCCCGGTGTGTGATGTTCCCCTTCCTGAGTCCGAGTGATCTCATTGTTCAGTTCCCACCTATGAGTGAGAACATGCGGTGTTTGGTTTTCTGTTCTTGTGATAGTTTGCTAAGAATGATGGATTCCAGCTGCATCCAAGTCCCTACAAAGGACTCAAACTCATCCTTTTTTATGGCTGCATAGTATTCCATGGTGTATATGTGCCACATTTTCTTAATCCAATCTGTCACTGATGGACATTTGGGTTGATTCCAAGTCTTTGCTATTGTGAATAGTGCTGCAATAAACATACGTGTGCATGTGTCTTTATAGCAGCATAATTTATAATCCTTTGGGTATATACCAAGTAATGGGATGGCTGGGTCATATGGTACATCTAGTTCTAGATCCTTGAGGAATCGCCATACTGTTTTCCATAATGGTTGAACTAGTTTACAATCCCACCAACAGTGTAAAAGTGTTCCTATTTCTCCACATCCTCTCCAGCACCTGTTGTTTCCTGACTTTTTAATGATTGCCATTCTAACTGGTGTGAGATGGTATCTCATTGTGGTTTTGATTTGCATTTCTCTGATGGCCAGTGATGATGAACATTTTTTCATGTGTCTGTTGGCTGTATGAATGTCTTCTTTTGAGAAATGTCTGTTCATGTCCTTTGCCCACTTTTTGATGGGGTTGTTTGTTTTTTTCTTGTAAATTTGTTTGAGTTCTTTGTAGGTTCTGGATATAAGCCCTTTGTCAGATGAGTAGATTGCAAAAATTTTCTCCCATTCTGTAGGTTGCCTGTTCACTCTGATGGTAGTGTCTTTTGCTGTGCAGAAGCTCTTTAGTTTAATGAGATCCCATTTGTCAATTTTGGCTTTTGCTGCCGTTGCTTTTGGTGTTTTAGACATGAAATCTTTGCCCATGCCTATGTCCTGAATGGTACTACCTAGGTTTTCCTCTAGGATTTTTATGGTATTAGGTCTAACATTTAAGTCTCTAATCCATCTTGAATTAATTTTCGTATAAGGAGTAAGGAAAGGATCCAGTTTCAGCTTTCTACTTATGGCTAGCCAATTTTCCCAGCACCATTTATTAAATAGGGAATCCTTTCCCCATTTCTTGTTTCTCTCAGGTTTGTCAAAGATCAAATGGCTGTAGATGTGTGGTATTATTTCTGAGGACTCTGTTCTGTTCCATTGGTCTATATCTCTGTTTTGGTACCAGTACCATGCTGTTTTGGTTACTGTAGCCTTGTAGTATAGTTTGAAGTCAGGTAGCGTGATGCCTCCAGCTTTGTTCTTTTGACTTAGGATTGTCTTGGAGATGCGGGCTCTTTTTTGGTTCCATATGAACTTTAAAGCAGTTTTTTCCAATTCTGTGAAGAAACTCATTGGTAGCTTGATGGGGATGGCATTGAATCTATAAATTACCTTGGGCAGTATGGCCATTTTCACAATATTGATTCTTCCTATCCATGAGCATGGTATGTTCTTCCATTTGTTTGTGTCCTCTTTGATTTCACTGAGCAGTGGTTTGTAGTTCTCCTTGAAGAGGTCCTTTACATCCCTTGTAAGTTGGATTCCTAGGTATTTGATTCTCTTTGAAGCAATTGTGAATGGAAGTTCATTCCTGATTTGGCTCTCTGTTTGTCTGTTACTGGTGTATAAGAATGCTTGTGATTTTTGCACATTAATTTTGTATCCTGAGACTTTGCTGAAGTTGCTTATCAGCTTAAGGAGATTTTGGGCTGAGACAATGGGGTTTTCTAAATATACAATCATGTCATCTGCAAACAGGGAGAATTTGACTTCTTCTTTTCCTAACTGAATACCCTTGATTTCTTTCTCTTGCCTGATTGCCCTAGCCAGAACTTCCAACACTATGTTGAATAGGAGTGGTGAGAGAGGGCATCCCTGTCTTGTGCCAGTTTTCAAAGGGAATTTTTCCAGTTTTTGCCCATTCAATATGATATTGGCTGTGGGTTTGTCATAAATAGCTCTTATTATTTTGAGGTACGTTCCATCAATACCGAATTTATTGAGCGTTTTTAGCATGAAGGGCTGTTGAATTTTGTCAAAAGCCTTTTCTGCATCAATTGAGATAATCATGTGGTTCTTGTCTTTGGTTCTGTTTATATGCTGGATTATGTTTATTGATTTGCGAATGTTGAACCAGCCTTGCATCCCAGGGATGAAGCCCACTTGATCATGGTGGATAAGCTTTTTGATGTGTTGCTGAATCCGGTTTGCCAGTATTTTATTGAGGATTTTTGCATCGATGTTCATCAGGGATATTGGTCTAAAATTCTCTTTTTTTGTTGTGTCTCTGCCAGGCTTTGGTATCAGGATGATGTCGGCCTCATAAAATGAGTTAGGGAGGATTCCCTCTTTTTCTATTGATTGGAATAGTTTCAAAAGGAATGGTACCAACTCCTCTTTGTACCTCTGGTAGAATTCAGCTGTGAATCCATCTGGTCCTGGACTTTTTTTGGTTGGTAGGCTATTAATTGTTGCCTCAATTTCAGAGCCTGCTATTGGTCTATTCAGGGATTCAACTTCTTCCTGGTTTAGTCTTGGAAGAGTGTAGGTGTCCAGGAAATTATCCATTTCTTCTAGATTTTCCAGTTTATTTGCGTAGAGGTGTTTATAGTATTCTCTGATGGTAGTTTGTATTTCTGTGGGGTCGGTGGTGATATCCCCTTGATCATTTTTAATTGCGTCGATTTGATTCTTCTCTCTTTTCTTCTTTATTAGTCTGGCTAGTGGTCTGTCAATTTTGTTGATCTTTTCAAAAAACC